GTGAATGTCATAATATATATGACATCGTTTAACTTTCGATATGTATGCGTAAGATCGTTAAATGAGAAAGGGGGAATTTGAAAAAGTGAGCCACTAATAGGATTAAATCTCCATAAAACGAAAAACTTTTAAAAATAAAAATAATCATATATAAAATTAATTAATTTAGAAATAACAAAAGATTTCAAACAAATTTGATTTGGTTTAAGTAGAACCTAATGAATCTAAGGAATACAACTCATTATTGGCAAAGAAATATTTTGTATTAGACATTAAAATAATTTAAAAAAATGAAGGAAACTATTATGCTTCACTCATTGATAAACTCTTTTGGTCTTAATCGGATTTTTCAAATTGCTTTTATATTTGAAAATTAAGTTATGCATAGATAATTTTCATTTTGTAATTAAATATATCATTAAGACAAATTTTTATATTTTGAACACAAAAATCTAAGTAAATATTGGATCTAATTTTTTAAAGATTTATCGCATTTTTTTATAGACACTTATTATAAGGAAAACAATTTTAAAACAAAATAAGAACTTTTAAATATATTTAGAGCTTTTAAATAAAATTAAGATGATCGAACAAACTCCGTGAGGTCCGACCTCCACTAGAGCACAAAAATTAGCATTTTAATTTCATAATTTTTAGTAAAATAAATTTGGTGAACAAATAAATTCTTATTTTCTCGTTTTTTAATTAATTTGCTTGCAAAAATTATTCTGAAATGGAAGGAAACAGGGTTAGTTTTTTTTTAAAATATAAAATGAGAATTATATTTATTAAAATTTTGTCATTCAAAGAAATAATACCGAGCGTTATGAGGGAAATCGAGAAAAACGCTTAAGAAAATATGATCGGGTTTTAATTAAAATATTAGATTTTAAAAAGAGGTTAGAAGATTTAGGGATATCTTTAATGAGTGTAATTTGACTTTTTAGGTTATCTTAAAATTCACTTGTTAAATTAGGTTGTCTACGAAACTTATTTACATCTTATAGGTATTGCAAAAAATTCGCTTGGAAATTTTTATCTTTTAAATCGAATTTTTAAATTTTTTTTGATTTCCTCACTATTTAAAAACATCAAAAAAATGTCAAAAGAAGAGCCATTAAAAAATGTCAGCAATTTAAAATAATTGTAACCGATAGAACCTGGAGAAAAGGGACATATAGACAAACAAATTGGCTAATAAATTAATTAATTTGTCAATTTTAATTGACTCAAATTTGTTGCCCATTGAATTTTTTTACTTATGCCAAATGTTAAAATAGAATTACAAATGTTACGGTGACAGCAAATAAATGAAATTTCTTCAAATTTAACTGATTAAAAGTATATAAGATCTACTGTGAGTTAGGATATATTATATATAATTTATATTTAAGATGATTTTAAAATATATAATAATAAAAGTGCCGATTTTTTGCGTAAAGCGGCATATTAGATAGAGCCAGCCTTGCTTGTATGTATAGAATACCTATTCTTAAAATTTTAGACGATTTAACCACACCTTAATATTTTTAATTTTATATTAAAGGCCTGCAGAGGTATAAATTTTAAGCCCAGACCGGATTTTTTAAATTTTATTCATTTTAATTGACCCTGATTTTCGAATTTTGTTATTATAAAAAATTAGCATATATTTTGTAAATTGTTATCTTCCGTTACCTTAAAAGTTCTCTCTCAGAAAATGTTCATGTAAATAGAAATCCTTCAACTGTTCATTCCTTCACACCTTGGATTATGAATGGGTCAAAGAAATACCAAGCTCTAATTTAGAATTTTAAACACCATTGAAGACCTTAAAATCTCTATTTCTTCGACTATCTGTGACCTTGTAACACTTACTAACTGATCACTCTTCAATAGTCCTATCGATAACCCGGGATCACACCATTCATTGTCGCAAGGAGTACTACCTAAATACTAAGCCATAAATTCAACAATATTTAAAACTTCGAGGGTTACCAAATTTCTATCCTATTTTCAACTCCCAGGCCTCATTCCTAACACTTAAACTAGATCCGATGAGATTCCCCTCTTACCTCGTGATCAAGGCGTGCCCATTTTTGGAGAATACGCTTGCATAGATCTTTTTATCAGATTCTTTTCTACCAATTCCATCCCGAGAGCAAAAAATTTAAAAGCCACTAAATACCGCAACTTAAGCAATTTTGTTTTTTGTAGTCCCTAATACCCTGGATTCATTCTAACCTTAAGCCCTATTTTTATTCCAAATGATAAGGAACTAATATTTAATAACAGAGATCCAATAGATAACTTGCGGCAAAGAATATCAATTGAAATATTTATCCGACTTAACTTAGAGGTTTTTTAAATATAGTATTGTCGTGTTATTTTTTTAGATATAGTAAAGATGTTATTCTTAAATAGCATATAATGCAATTTTAAAAATTTTAATTAGATATAATAAAGATATGTTATTTAGTATATAATGCAATTTTTAAATATTTTAATTAGATTAAATAAATAATTATTTTCATATTATAATATTTAGCATAACTAAAACACTTTAACTGTTAGAAATTTCTATATCACTTTACTATTTGCAATAAAGACTTGCTTTTAAGGCTTAGTCTATCTTCTATTGTTTTTACTAAAAAGCAAATTCTATAAATCATGACATATGATAATGGGTTATTTAAATGGACAATAAATTTATTATAAAGCTTATAATACATATTTCATTTTAATCAAATTTAATCAATAGTTTAGTTTTGTCATTTAAAATCGTTTAGATATAAACACCAAGTTGGACTTATTTATATTAAAACTCGATGTCTTATGCACAAATTTGAATTTCACTCCAATATTTTACCTTGCGTGTGTAATATTCTATATCATATATATATCATCAAATATTAATTTTTTATACATAAAAAATGAATAGTTTATATACAATTTCTATATAATATCAAAATAAAACTTAAAATTTATGCCTTATAAAAAAAATTTATTATTTACGTTGGATGTAATTAATTTTATGTTAGCCACTCAAACTAAGTGTATAAAATAATGTTTTTGTTTATATTATAAAAGCTTTAAAAAAATTCAGAAAAAATCGATATGGACTATAAAAAAACTTTTATTATTCAACTCTTAAATGAGAATGAGCTTTAATTCGTCATATAACTTTAAAAAAATGATTATATAATCCATCTATTAGAAAAATTGTAGGATAGTAAAGTATTTTGATGTATGTTTCGAACCAGAAGCGTAACTGAGTAAGTTTAAATTTTGATTATATTGGCTTTAAATATTTCCTATTTGAGCCGATGGTGTAGCTACGAGGGGCGCGGATGATGGGCGAAGGAAAAGTCCCAGCCCCCTCTTTTGAAATATTTATATCTTGGCTTATATAAGTGAAGTAGAAGAGAAATGTCCGGGTTGCCCACTGGCGCCACTAGCCTTTACAATTTCAGGGGGCTCAAAGAATTTTTTTTAAATTACATTTCTTTTAACACTTTTACACAGGTCCAAATCCAAAGTAACAAGTTAAATAAACTTCTTATTAACATCTTAAATACTTTATTAAATTTAAAAATATCTAAAAATAGAGAATCCTGTAAACATTAAATGGCACAATTATAGATATAATTTGTTTTAACGTAATTGTAAAAAACGACGTTTTTGCAAAACTGAGTTGTGTTGGTTTTACCCGAGATAATCTCTTCTACAACTAACACCTATTTAGGTTTGGAGGGGATAATTATACCCCGAGATTTCTAATGTTTTGGCGGTTGCGGACTTATTATTTATTATAAACAAAAAAATTCTTAAGATTTAGAAAAATCATAATTAACTAGAAGAAAACACAAAAATATAAGGTAATTTACACATAAAATGATTAAAAAACTGAACATATAAGAAAATAACTCTAAGGGCAAAATGATAAAAAAAATAAATGTTTTTATTAAAAAAATATATATTACAATCTAATTCTCATCTTCGTTCTTTCTAATTTGACTTCGTGAGTTACCTTAATTGCCTTTGTCTCGCGTCTCACTGCCGTGCATCATACAACTTCTCACACAGCTTGCGTAAATTTTTTCCTTCAAAGCTAGAGACATTTTTATAGGTTAAAATTGAAGATATCTCTAAATTTTTTCAAAGCTTATCTTATCCTTTCCACCAATGACAAGTCAACGCTTCCATCTGAGCTAAATGTTTCGCCTAGATATCAGAACTTCCCTACTTTTTTTAAACTTATTCCATTTCCAATATAAAAATCAGTCATATTACAATAATCTTGCACACTATGACACTTTTTCTACAAACAAACATCGCGCTTGTTCTGCAGGCTTCCCTTTACACCACTACACCTATTGTAAACATGTTTACCAGCAGGTACAATTGATGGAGTTCTAGCAACGCCTTTCCCACATACACCGCATTGCCGTACGCCTGTCTCTTCAGAAAATATTTTTAAAATTTTCTAAATGATTATTCGTTTGATTGTTAAATATTCATTTTATCGCATCATTTATACATTAAATCTTCTCTATAATATTTCTATAAAACTTATAACGGGTTTAGGCAAAACTATATGATTCCGTAACTTACATTTTTCATCTTATAATTTATGATTCCTCTAATTACACTAACAAACTCAAATGTCATATATTTAAATAATTGAAAATTTGAATTATTTTAACGAAACATTTACCAAACATACTAGTTCTCTGTCGGCTGTATATGTTTTAGGAAAGAAAATTGGGAAACCATAATTATTGCAAATAAATTTTATTATTCAATAAGCTATTCAAGCATACAATCGCAATCATGTACCAATTATTATAATTATTTTTTACTTTCCGTTGATCAAATAAATATACATAAGGGTCATTTATATTTTCAATTTAAAATGCATGAGGAATTTAGTCCATTGTTTATAAACATATAGATACTCATTTGTGTATATACATAATATTAATTGCTATTGGAAACTCCTATTTCACATATAAATAATGCTCATTTTTATGTATTAAATTGTGCTTCCTTTAGTATTTTTTTGCTTTTGATATTTCGATTTACATTGTGCTTTATAATTATTACCGAATTGATGGATCCATTTATTGGCCACTATGTATAAAAAAGTTAAAGATTTAAATTTATAGTGTTAAATATATTATATACTATATATTTGTTCAAAATTAGATATATAATATATATATATACAATACACTTTTAATATCATTGTCCAATTGTAAAAAAAGCTTAAAATATACAAATGGATTTCTATTAGTACATTATATACCTTTAATTATAATATTCTATAAAAATATGAATTTTATTTATGTAAAAAAAAGCTTAAAATATACAATTGGATTTCTATTAGATTATATAACTTTAATTATAATATTCTATAAAAATATGAATTTTATTTATCGTATATAAACCCCATTTAGATCCTAACAATACAGGACAGCCAGCGTGTCGCGTATCATGATTTCCGGATCTATTCACATACAAATTATACCAAAATATTCCAGATCCCTATCGTCAATATTTTTTAAACATATTAATAATTAATGATATACTTTGACAGGTTGTACGCGTAGGTTAATCTTAGGAAATACAGTAGCTCCACCTTCATTAATATCGCTTAACTATGTTTAATTAACAATAAAAATATATAATTAGATAATCTTATAATATGACCAGGATTTTTACTTAGGGAATAGAGTAATTTAATATTATTATCAATTTTAGAAAAATATTTGTATGTAGTTACGCTCTGGTTATAAGTTAAAATTTTGTAACCATACCAAAATAGTTTTTTTTATATAGATTTTAAGATTTTAAAAAATCATACTATATATATCGAAAATATAATTATGATATAATAATCTTATATAACTTATATAGAGTATTACTTACATAAAACATGAATGTCGCTAATCTGGAAGATATGGGATTTTGGGGGTCCTTAATTAAAGAGAAATTGAAATTAAACTGGTAGTAAATTTTCTTATCAAATAGTAAATATACTATATACAGATATATAGTTCAAAAAAATATTTTATTGAATTGATAATTGCTAAATTGAAGATTTCACGAATAATTGTAAAAAAATATAATTTAATTTATAGTTAAATTATATAAAATTAATCAAATAAAATTCATAGACATTGTAATAGATTCTTTTTTAAGTTTAATTTAATAGTGTCAATTTTCAATTCAATTTTGACTAATTTAGGGTTAAATTACTATATTAATTTTTTTTTATATCATAGTATACGGTAATAAAATAGCTTTTAATAATTGGGTTTCAAATCACGATGGTTCTGAGAAAAATATGATCGAAAGAAAAAGCCGTAAAGCGGGATAGAAATGTAGAAATAGTTTTCAATATTTTTATAACCCATAAAAATTTATCAATTAAAGGTCACCATTTTTTTAGCCATTAACTTAATACTTAGACAAAGATTATCAAGATGATTGCGAAATTCTATTTAGCCTCTAATCATAAATCCTCCAAGAAACTTAAACCACGAATTATTAAATCTTATTATTATTATTAAATATAAATTTGAAGACTTTAAAATGGTTGCTCAATTATTATAGGATTCTATCTAAACGATGATCTTACAGTAGAACAATTTGCCTCTGATTAAGTAAATGAACTATTCTTATTAGTGACTTAAGCGGACAAATCCGCCCTGGATTAACAATTTTTTTAAATATCGGATAGACTTCACCTACCACAGGTCTGATGCAGGGTTTTAATTCTAAAACATAAAGAGCATATTTATAATGAAAGTTAATGAAATATAATACACATCCCAATTTTTAAAATAGCAATACAATAAGGGACTTTCATTGCAGGATCTTTTTTTAAAAAAAATAAATAAATAAACACAGCTTAATAGTTTAATTTTCAAAAAACATTGACTTCCTGTTTGAAAAATGCCATAGAATAATAAATAATTTTATTTTTTAAAAAAGCGTTTCCAAATAGATCTTTTTCGATACATCGTGATGATGGAAATCCGCTAAAAAAATAAGCATAAAATCATTTCAACAATGTGAAAAAAATAAAAAAAAATTTGATTATATAAGTGCCGTTGTTTTAGCCTATTAGAGCACAATATATTTAAACAACTTTTTTTTATATTTTGTTATCATTCAATTCGAACATCATATAAAAAAAAATTGTAAAAAACAATATCCCTATAGTTTTTGTTCTTTCGAACAAATTCTTCAAAACTAACATTTATTTTTAAAAATGCACTTAACTTTCAATTTTTTTATTAAAAGTCGGTGGAATATCTATAAAAATATTTAAAATTTTTTAAATAAATTTAGTAGCTTAAAATAATTTTGTGCATCAATGGTATTGTATAAAAATTTATTATAAAATAATCGGTATGGAATAAAAATAAAGTTTTGGTCTTTTTATAGTAAAGAATACTCAAATATTCTTTTATAGATTAAGTCGAGAAATTTGAACATGTGTTGCTACATTTCCTAAAAAGGAATAATTCGTTTGAAAATTATACAAGGCGGGCATAATACAATTAAATTCTAAGAATATTTGAATACATTCAATATTCGTACTCAAAATAACATAACAACTGTACTATAGTTATGGATAATGTACTATTTTATCACTCAACTGTGATATCGAATAGTATCCGCGCGTTCAGCCACCAACTTTTATTTTTACCTCCTTATTCGTTTTTTCTTAACTCAGCTGGAGATGTTTAGCAAACTGAATTGTGAGTAAGGGAGGACCAAGTAAAGAAAGTGAATTGATGAATTTGATAAATTTCACAAATACAAAGGTAAACAATAATAATTTAACATTTTGATGAAATTATTCCATAATATATTTTCACCTTTTGAATCTATAAATATCAGTTAAAGATTGTGAATGATATTTTTCTCATGTGAAGAAATACATAAATCCTTGAGGCATGACGCCCATTAATTATTAAACACCAATTTTCTAAAAAAAATTCTCCAGCTATAAATTAATTTTTAAAGATTATATCGAATACTATTTAATAAATTTTTATGCAATCCCATCCTTGGATGCACAAAATTATTTTAAGCAAATAAATTTATTCATAACTTTTAAAATAAATTATAAGTTTATTGTAAAAAATCATTTTTTTATAATTTTGAATAAGAATTTGTTCGAAAGAACGATAAAGACAGGGGTATTGACATTTATTTTATTATTTTTTTATTTGATGCTCGAATTGTATGATAACAAAATAAAAAATGTTGTTTACATATATTGTGCTAGAGTTTTTGTGCTAAAACAATGGCAAACCCTGAAATACGTAAATTAAATATAAAGATGTTTGTTCATTATATACGAAGTAGAGGTCTGCATTGGGCGGGGTTTCGGCCCAAAATTTTTTTCAAGAATGGGCTGGCAGGCGGGCGGGTTAAAAAAATTGAAACTATGGGCGGGTGGGTGGGAGAATTAAGAAATTTAAACAATGAGCGGGCAGGTTAAGGAAATTTAAAATTTTTGTTCAAAAACAAACTAAAGAAAGATTATAATTAATTATATGATCAAGAACAATTTTTATTGTACCAATCGTTTTTTTTAAGTGAACACTTTACTAGTTGTTCGAAATCTTTATCTAATTGTTCCCACCATAAATAATGTATCGAATGGATTTCATTGATGTAATACCGTAAAACTCTTTTTTAAAGTGAGTACGGAATGATTAATATGCCATTAAAATAAAATACCCTCATCATTTTCTATTTCATCTATTCTTATTCTAGAAGCTTGTAATTCTGATGCTTGATTTTGTATATTTGAACCATTCAGGCACGTACGCAGGAATTTGGTCTGGGGGGGGGGGATAATAAAATTTTTTAAGAAATATTATTGTTTTTTAAAAATATCAAACATAAATTTATTAGGACTAATAACTATTTCTAATACACAATTTTAAATTAATGTGAATTATAAAAAAATTATATGTAAAGAATCACTTAAATGACCCATAAAGAAATTTGAATTTTTTGAGCTTTAAAATTTATATATAAAGTATAAAAAATTGAAATGTTAGAAATATAAATTAATACACAAAAAGCTTAGGGAATAATTGTATTTTGTATGTTATATATTTACAATGTAAAATCCAATCTTCGATTGAGCTAATTTTTCAATTATCTCATCCTTGCTTGTTGTCAAATGCCTATGAATATTCAAAAGATCCAAACCTTTCAATCTACTTTCAAAAGTTGTACTTCTTGGTATGTTTTTCAGAGACCTGCAGGCCCGGCCCCCATGCCGGACCGTATGGCCGGGCCCGAAATTTAAAAAAAAACACCCAGGCTGAGCCTAAATTTTTTTAAAAAAACATCTAGGCTGGGCCTGAAAATTTTTTTTAAAAAAATATCCGGGCCGGACTGTATATTTTAAAACAGCCTATATTTGAAATCGTTATTATTAGCTATAAAAATCAAAAATAAATATAATTTATTTTAAAAAAATCCAGGTCGGGCCTGAAAATTTTATTTTAAAAAAGGCCGGGCCGGGCCTGAAAATTGAGCTTAGCCATAAAAATCTTTAAAAAAATCCGGGTCGTGCCCTGCAAATGGTACCTCTGCAGGGCTCTGTTATTCTTCTTAAAAAAGAGAACGTTCTCTCATTAGTTTACTATTGGGAAGAGTTGCTAATATATAAACCCTTTTAATATATTGGGAATATAATCTAAAATATGTTTGAAATATTGCAGAGAATCCATAGCATTTTTTGGGACTGTATCAACCATAGTTAATCTTATAAACATAGTTATTCAGCTAATAAGGCATCATAAGATACTTTAACATCTTCATGATAAAAATCCTACAAATATTTTTTTTTTCTATCACCATCTGAAAAAGGTTTGGAAGGCTTTTATGGAAATAATATTTGCAGATTGGTAAGTGCTGCATAATGAATTAAAAACCATTCATTTATTTGGTTTATAAATTTGTATCTAAGATATACTCTTCTACTGGTCCTATATTAATGTTTTAACTATGAGCTTGCCTTGCTGCAAGTCGAGTGAGACAAATATTAAACACGTATACTGTTTTTGACTTAACAATAACATATAAAATATGAAATTCTTCATAAACATTAGCCCTAATTTCCTTGAATTCTAATAAAATGCTCTCCGCTATTCTCATCTTCTTAATCAAGTCATCATGTTTTTGAAAAGTAATACATAAACTAGTTGTACATTCTAATGAGAAAAAAAATTTGGAATAAGCATTGAATCCAATAATTTTCTTGCTCCTAAGGAAAAATTTCTTTCAGGCCAATGTGATATGTCAGTAATAGCAAATAATCGGCTCTTCTAACTCCATAAAAGCTGTTACTGTTTGATGGCGGAGACTCTATCTCGTAGGACAAGGTTTCAATTTCTTTCTCCCTGTTGGACAATTTCAGAATAATTATTATTTGACTAGAAATTTAAAAATGGTAATATTACGCCACTAAAAATTTGAAAATAATAAGATAATATTACGCCGGAAAACTTGAAATCGAAATTTATAGATAAACTTAGTGATGAATGTGATAATAAATGTAATTAAATATATATTTAATATGAGATAGGAATAAATATTATCAAATATAAATTAATAGTACTGTGCAAATTTAATTCAAAACATTTCCATATTTATTAATTTATTTGAAAATAAAATTATTTGACTTGTAAAAAGTTGTTAAAATAACATATATATATATTCTTATCAATTTTTACAAGTTAAAATTTTTATTTACAAACGAATTAAAAAATATGGAAATGTTTTAAATAAAATCTGTACAACACTCTAAACAAAAATATTTTTGAAAAATATATCCGGCATCTGCATTTTTTGGCTTTGGGAGGGGAAGATTTGTCCCCCTGCCCCCCCCCGCTGCGTACGCCAATGGTACCATTTATTAATATTTTTACTCTTCTTAAAATTGGATCTTTCGCGGTTTCCTCTCTAAGTTCTTCTTGGTAGAGTTAATGTGTCATAAGTAAGATTTTTATATATTTCACTGTTTTATTTTCGCTTGTTATTCTATCATCCTTTTTCTCTATTGGGTTTCGCGATAAAGCATCTGCAATTATATTATTAGAGCCATTCTTGTACATTATATCATAATCATATGCAGATAATTTATAAGCCCAACGTATAATCTTTGTTTTGTTAATGAGCTTAAATCTCTGTTATTACCATATATCTTTATTAAAGGTTTGTGGTCTGTTCAAATTTTAAATTTTCGTCCATACAAATAGTTATGAAATTTTTCTACACCGTTTAATATTGCTTTTGCTTCTTTGTCTATTGTAGAATAATTCTTTTCAGCGTCTTGTAAAGTTCTTGAGGTGTAGCTATTGGAAATTCGTTACCATTATCATATTTTTGCATGAGTACAGCTCCAAATCCTTGGTTAGATGCATCTGTTTATAATATTAACTCGAGGTCCGGTTTATAAAACTGTATAGTATTTTGTTTTACTATTCCGAATAGCATGAAAACGATTACAAAAATAGCACGGTATTTTTTTTTGGAATGGTAGATTAATCATTTTTTACTCACTTCAAAAAAGAGTATTACATATATTGCATACGGGACATCCGGATCTCACTTGAGGAAGAGGATATACTTCAAACGGATATCCTACTTTGGTGGAAACGACAAGAGATTTGCCAAAGCCATCACGATTAACAAGAAAAATATTGGCAATTCCTGCAACTAGTACTTCTCCTGAATGAGGATTTAGCATTGCTGGAAGGTTTTTAGAACAAAGAAGAACGTGTTTGTATCCAGAAAATGTCAATTCATTATTATTTTTGCATTATAATTACATATAATATCAATTTTATATTTATATTCATTTCATAAATATTCTATTTGATCAAATAAATTGTCCATAATTTAAATTGAATATTTTTTATGCTTAAATTAATTACCTAAATTATAAACTTTTTGTAGAGGTGTAATGCTGAAATATTTTTATTAGATGCTTAAAAAATTGAAAGAATGACCATAATTAATATAAGCGAAATTTTTTTTATAAATAATGGGAGGGCGGGTAAAATATTTTACAATAATAGGCGGGCGGACGGGTGGTTAAAGAATTTTAGATAAATGGGCTGGGCGGGTATATATTTTTTTGAAAACTATGGGCGGCTGGGCTGGATGGGCGGGCGGGTTAAATTTTTTTAAACATTGGACGGGCGGGCTTTTGGTCCGAAAACCCGGCCAATGCAGACCTCTAATACGAAGGATGTGGTTAGACATTAAATATTACTTTTGTCAAAATAATATTGTATAATTAGTAGTATAATTTTACTTCTGAGAAATCATAATGAGGATCGTAATGCCCGCCAATTCCATAATTACCTATCTTAAATTTAAACATCATTATACAAAGAATGCGCTTTAAATACCTGCAAACTTTCGGATGTAAGCATATCTAATCCCGTTATAGCATTGATTCTGAGATTTAAGGACTCTACCAATGTAGTATCAACCTCGTCTAACCACGCACTTCAAATTGATATTTATTATTAAATTAAAAATTTTCTATACTGATATTTTCAAACTAATTTTATTACAAGTTATAAAAAAAATTCATTTTATATAAGACTAGTTTTAAATTACTTAACAATTCAAAAAACTGTTAAATTGAAACACATTAATAAAACTAGCATAGAAAGTGATTCAAGGATAATAATTAATGTATTAGTAAATATATTAATGTTATTAATAAAGGTTACCTTTTACTTACTCTATCATCAACTATTTCATTGGTAAATGTCTCAATGCTGACAACAGTGGCTCTTTTCAGCTATAAATAAATTTGTAAATATCAATTTTTGCATTCATAACGTACTCTAATAAGATTTTAATAGTGAATAATATAATAATAGATTTATATAAAATAACTTCCTTGGACGAAAATAATTGGGAAGAATACAATATTGCATAAATGTACAAAAAATCAAAAGTGAGTAATAATAATTTAGGCATCTAAGAAAAATATTCAGCGTTGTTTTGATACCATAAGAAATTTATTAACTATAATATTTTTGTTTATAGCTCCGGCTATACTCTCTTTAATACTCTGAAAAATCAGAAAATCTTGCTTGTTAGATTGGATTAACAGAGATAATCTTAGTAATTTTAATCTTGAAGAATATATCTATGTAGCAGTTACTATCCGATTAAGTTAAAAATAAAAAGCACGCTGTGCTAGTATTATAGAGTTTTGTCTATCGATGAATGATCAATTGTGATCAATCTAGCCAAATAATAGTTGCTATCTCTTCATTATTTCATTCTAGAATCTTAGTATACAGTTTATAAAAAAATATATATTTCTGCCAAGAAAGTTTATAGAAATTTAGTATTTTCATCACAAAATGATTAATGAAAAATAATGGTTATATTTTGCTATCAAATTTTTGACTTGTTAAGAATAGTTTGCGGCGCAAAAAAAATTAAAAGATTTTATATTTTCCAACTATTCGAAAGAAAGATTTAGAAGGGTTAAATATGAGAGCAATTTTGTTCAACCCCTTCTAGGAAACATATCTAATCAAATCCCATCAAAAAATTTCAAATAAGTCTATATAAAAATATAATCTTTAGAAGAGTGATTTAAACAACCTTCAATTTATTTTTATATTTCGTGTTAGATCAACTTGATCTTAGGATAGATGAAATTATTTTTTAAAAATCTCAACCTTTGTAACAACTTTTTATAACAAATTATAAATGTATGTGGTGGGCCCACCGTTTCTATTAGGTAGTGTTATTGAAAACCTCATTTAATCAATTTTTAAAATGGCGATATCAATATTTTAGACCAAAAAATAAACACTAAACGTAGAAATTTCCCTAAAAGTCTATCTTTTGCCGAAATCTCAAAGCTTATATAATATTTAATATTTGGCTAAAATATAACAAGACAAATTCGGAGCTTAAAATTTTAAGCTAAACTAAATAGAAAATGATATCTTACCAATAACTTATTTCTTTATACACCAAAACATTTATAATCTCTAGAAGGATTGCTGATAATTTTGGTTACCGTGACAAATACAAAAGGTAGTTTTTCTCGCTTTAAATTAATCAAAATTTATTTAAGATGACGCAAGATAGATTAAATTAATCAAAATTTATTTAAGATGACGCAAGATAGATTAAATCAATAATTTGGTTAGAAAATTAATTATTAAAAAAAATTAATTGATGATTTAGCGAGAAAAAAAATTGTAGTCATAAAAATCATTCGTCTTACATTTTATTATATAAGATATCTTTGAATAAGTCATAAATTTTTGCAGGGTGCCATATGAATAATTGATCTTTTATAGAAAAAAACCCATAACTAGTTTAATATTAACGTATGCAAAATCAAAATATAATTAAATTTATATTATCTAATCAATAAAAAAATTAATTATAATCCACGTAACATATTTTTAATCAGGCTAGTTCATGAATAAGTGCATATCAAAAAGTCTTGAGAGTGTGATTTATTTCATTAAATAGGTCAAAGTTAATATTTGGTAAAAAATCATATTGGCAGTGGCGTATCCAGGATTTTCTTATAGGGGGGAAAAAATTTTTGGGGGCTTCGCCCCCAAACCCCTTTTACCTGGCCTTCGGCCAGCTTTTCCCCGGCCTTCGGCCGGGTCTTATTTAGCTATTCTATAAAATTATTGATAATTTAATAATAATTATATTTCTATTTTTAATATTATTTACTAATTCGTGCTTATGGATAGGATATTACAAGCCTCTTTTTTATTATTTCAAGTTAGGTATATTATATTTAATAAAGTTTTTTTAAATGTAAAGTTGAAATAAAGTGTAATGTCATTTTTTTTATAAAATTTGCTTTAAAAACTAGCCTCAGCTTAAATTCTCATACAATATAAGTAGAATATAATTTTTTTATTGAAAATACTAATAGTAGTGTGTTTAAAATATTGACTAGAAAATAATTAAATTAACAAGTTTTTTTAACTTTTTATCAAATACAAGATTTTTAATTATTTTGTTTGTCGTTGGAACCAAATCTTTGTGTATATTTAACAGAGCTAACCCATTTAGCCGAGATTCAGTACTTAGTAAATATGTTTTCAACCTTCTCAAGTTGGAAATCCTTTCATTCGTACATGTTGTAATAGGCAAACATGCAAGAATATAAACAACTTCGAAATATTAGGAAATTGAGCTAAGGTTTCTTTACACCGATTGAGCGCATCAATAGCATGCTCAGATAAAATAGCTAAACGTATAAATATTTATACCACAATTCGAATTCACTTATTAAATTTATTTCAGTATCAATCTCATAGGAATAAAATTTTTCTAAATATTTAATTATACCAATAGTGCCATTAGAAAATGAAGAAGGATCTTTGGGTAATAAAACTTGAAGATTGCTAAAGACTTATTTTTTATCTAAAACCCGTACTTTTATTTGCAATAAAAAAGTATCTAAGAATGGGATGAAAATGGATATTTTAATTCTTCAGTTGAGCCAATATTTATTTACATCTCAATAATGGCCTAGGTGCTAGACGAGGGTTAATTAGTGTTATATCATAAAATTTGCCTTCGATTCAACGTCTAGATAAATATTATGAAAATATTTATCTACATTCATTCTTATTGTATCTACCTGTTCATGTATATTTTCAGCCAAATCAATAACCTGAACCAAATCTAAATTTGGTTTTTGTAAATTTCTACAAAGTAGTGAGCTAAAAATAATTTATTGATGCAACTAGCAGCAATGTTAAACTCTGATTGAGCAATTGAATTCAATAATGATATCGCTTCTGACGACACATTACTTTTTTTCATGCTCAGCCTTATTTATAAATTATTGATTTCAATCTCATTGACTAAATATTTTTCCATTTTATTAATATTTTTGAATAATATGATGGAAAATTGATATTCAAATATTTGTAAAATTTTGATTGGTAAGGGGGGGGGGGGTAAAATTTTTATTAGCTTAAAATGATATTTATGAAAATAGTCAAATTTGCAATGGGGGGAATTTCCCCCCCCCTGGTTACGCGCCTGCATATTGGTGTTGTAAATAAGTGCTTCCAAACCTTTAAAACTGTAAATAAATATCAAAATATGGTCCATAACGTATTTGAATAAATGTTTAAAGATTTATACTTGTGGTTGAGCCAAAGTTTTAAGAATGTTTATTTCAGCATCAGTAATTACGTTATGATAAGCTGCAATCCAGGGATTTGTGTATAAAACCTCTTCTTTTATAGGCGCCAATAACAAAAGGGGATGTTTGTGTCTATTCATGTAGCGACAGGTTGAACCCTTTCTGTAATTGTTCTTCTAAATTATAATTAATTTAAACTTTTTTTTTAGTTAGCTTAAATTAATATAACGTTGCTTTCTTAGTTCAAAGTAAAATAAAAAATTGTGACAAGTATTTTTGTGTAAATCGCAATCTTAGGCTATTTAATTATTTTATAATTAAAATTTTTACTGTTTAAAATGTAATTGATTTATATAGTAATAAATATTATAATAATAAAATTTAATTAAAAAAATTTACGATTAATTTTAAAATCATTAACTGTAATTAGTATTATTTAAATACTTAATAGATTTATTTTATTAAAAGGGATTACTTCAATTATTTTATCTCCCCTACAAAGTGCACTATATACAGGCATATAACCATCAAAATACGTTTCCCATCTTTTAGGAGAATATATTTTAAAAGTTCGAGAATCGATATCATAATAATCATCCAATTTGATTTGATTGGATTGTTCCAATTCACTGATTTCATATTCATACCATAGTTTATTTCCTTGAGCGATAGAATGATTAGGTTCTAGTTTTGAAATAAAAAAATTTCTATTATAAAGGCTTGCAACTTTTTTAATTTGAGTAATTAAGATTAAGATAAAATATTTTGTCCAAAATATTCTATCAAATATGTTGAATTCATATTCAAATTTTATTGTAATATAGATATGATAGTTTAGTTAGTACCAAAAATTATGATCAGACATTGCCAGATTTTTTTCAATAATAGAGAAGAATGTTTACCTCCTCCATTAGCATAATTGTTTTAATTATAATATAAAAACTGAATATTGAAGCGGAGGAAAGAGGTAAAAGGTATCCTCCTTTTTTGAAAACTAAGCAATTCATACAAGAACTTTATCTTCACACGTTTCAAACAATTCATACAAGAACTTTATCTTCACACGTTTCAAACAATTCATACTAGACCCATCTTTGGATCTATTATTTTAGATCCACTAGTTACTTTTTAAAATTTTGTCTGACCTCTTCTTAACAATTTTTTTTTAAAGATTCGAGTCGAGCCATCTGAACTAATATTGTTATAAATAAGTTCTACCCTACCCTACTTATTTTTAAACATACCTATACTAAATTGGGATTAAAAAGAATACAAAAATTAGTTATTCAAATTTTAGAGATATTATTTTTCAGTTGGATTAAAAAAAGGGATGTTTTTCTTTAAGTTGGAATTTGAATTCGGTGTAAAAAAAACTCCAGTTATAATGACTGACTTAATCAAAAGTTTATCAAGAAAGTTGAGATATTCCTTGCAAGCGATCGCAATGCATTAACCTGAAAATAAAGGTTACGGCTGCACAATAATAGTGGGCAAATAAATTAGCTAAGGAGAGGGAGTGGGTATCTATGGAGCATTAGGAATATAGCAGGGAAGAATGCTAAATTGGTGCAAATTTTTGATAAAAGAAAATAGATAAGCATGTCTCTAAAACACAAGAAGGCTAAAGAGGTTGGAAAACGTTATTTATTAAGCTAAGGAGTCTAAATCGAGGAAACTGTGTAGGAATTGCCTTGAAGAATTTAAGATGTTTTGTGGGGTTATAAGATACTCAGGTCGTTTGATGTTTGTCAAGTGTGGGCAAGAGTAGGCTTTTAAATATTTTTAGGCCTATTCCTAGCATTGGGTGCAAAAATAGAAAAATAGCATTTTTTAAGAGAATTTCTTTTAGATTAAAGAATAGAGAATGGGGAGATAGAAACAAAAGGGTATAGGTTCGACATATGGCATGGCTATCTAACACTATTTTCAAAAAAAGGATGAGCGTATTGTAACTTACAAAATCTGTATACATCAAAAGTGATATACTTATGAGTAGAAGAGATTTATGAAGAAGCTGTATTAAATTATACTCGCTGAAAAAATAAAGGCAAGATCGACCAGTAATACTCAATTTTGAGAAGAAAGACTGTAGGAAAATGAGACGGTATGTTATGCCCTCTTATCTTCGAAGCAATTGATCGGAAAACTAATTGTAGTGGCTCTTGGGATAGATTTTCATGTAAGGGGAAAGACATAAGGAATTAAAGCCCAGCAACATGGAATAGGGGATCAAACAGTGTGATCTAATATCATGAAGAAAAGAAGTTTATAAAAGATGGTAAGATGAAGAATGATGTAAACTTTAATCTTATAGAGAGAGGTGAAGAATAAAGCTAAAAAAATTAATTGCTGAGGCAAAGAACGCTAAGTATATAGAAGTTATCAAACATGGCTGCTAGTAAAGAGGGAGAAGAAAAGAAAATTTGTGATATGTGGTTGTTGAAGATTGTTCAAAGAAGGCAAAACATAATTTGATCCTCAAAATTGGTTATTACTAGGCAAAAAACTATTTTCAGGAGAGTTTAAAATGTGAAAATTGTAAAGAAGCCTTTTTTGAAATCGATAATAGTGCTACTACGGTTAATAAAATAAAAAGGGATAGCTAGATATGTTAGCAAAATATGGTTTTTTATTTCAGGCTTGTTTGATAAAATCGATATGTAGGAAAACCAACTTTAGCAGAGATTTTGTAACAAAATTAAGATCATTGTCTAGCACAACCAAGTCCGAAGCGAATATCAGTTTGGTGTGATCAGACTCGTAAGTCAATACATGGCTTTGATTCATATTATAAGGCCATAACTATTTAAAATAAATAAATAAAATTTATAATAAAAAAAAAATCCCTGTATTAACCTAATTCCAGAAGTTCTAACGTTTTGGCTAACGCTGCATACAAATTCCCTTGCTAAAATTAAGTGTAATTTAAAATTTATATAAAATTTATTATTAAATTTAATTAAAAAATCTTATAGAATTTATAACAAATATCAAATAACTCCTCAATTTTCCAGACTGGATTCTTTTTGACATTTGTTAGCGGGAACGAATTCGTTTAAAATTACACGATTGGGCATTAACTAATGGTTACTACTTCAAAAAATTTTGTAATATTTTTGTGTAGACTTTTTCATGGGCTAAGAAATTAGTTATATTATTTCATTAATAAAGAGGATTAAATATGTTAACTGAACTAGACGTCTTTAACGGACTGATTTTTAGCCCTACCCATTCCCGCCCGCCTATCTAAGTGGGCGAGGAGGCTAAAATATTTTAAAGAAGGGGCAGCGGGTAGGTTAAAAAATTTAAACAATAGGCAGGCATGCTAAAATTTTTTAACTTTAATTTGTTGTTTAAAATCATTTAGTAAAAATTTTAAAAAATATGCTTCAAAAAATTTCAAAATTTTTAATACCATACCGATAACTGAGGATGTTGTCATCGGAAGAAATTAATGAAATAAAAAAACATGTCGAATGTTGGATTTGATTTGCATATACGTGAATGGAAATCTTATTTTATCCGTTTCCTCAAAAGCATGGAAAATTCAATTAAAGGGTATTAAATTATAAATTTAATGTTTGAAATAGATTCACATCAAAATTATACCAGAACAGATGAGGGGGGGGGGGGGGTTGTTATAGATGACCATTTAATGACAACAAAATTATTAAATTTTAAAGTAAATAGTTTGATTTGTATAATTTAGTAAAATTTTAGAATACTTAGTTTTGTTTACAATTTGAACAATTAATTTAAAGTTTGAATTACTTTTTCAAATTTATTCTTAATGGTTTCCCTTTTTTTTAAAGATTACACTTGAGGAGAAGGATATACTTCAAACGGATATCCTACTTTGGTGGAAACGATTATAAAAAGATTTACCGAAGCAATCAAGATTAGCTAGAAATATATTGGTAATTCCAGCAACTACTGCTTCTTCGGCAATACTGAGAGGTTTTCAGAACAAAGAAGAATATGTTTGAATCCAGAAAATATGGATTCATAATTATTTTTGCATTATTACAAATAACTTTATAAATATAAATTTTATTTTCATATTTTTTTCAATGAATATAAATTTTATATTTAAATTTTTTTAATGAATATTAATTTTATATTTTTCATGAATATTTTATTTAATAAAATAAATTCCTTACCCGTAATTTAAATTAATATATTTTTTTATGCAATATAATAATTTCACAAATTATAAAACTTTTTTTTAAGGATGTAGCGCTGAACTTGAATCAATTTTTAATATTAGACGCTTTAAAAAATTGAAAGAATGGGCATATTTAAATTTTATATGGGCGCATGTGGGTTAAAAATTTTTATCAATAATGGGTGGGGGGGGCGGGTTTTTAAAACATTGGACAGTAGGGCTAAAAACTCACCCATTGCAGAACTCTAAAACTGAACTATAAAACTTCAAATATAAAGTTTCAGACAAAAATTGAGCAAGAACAAAATACTACGATATTTTGTAATACCTTTTTTCCTATATGTATATTTGATTTTCTCAAATCATTTTGATTTAAAAAAACATTTGCTAAAATCTGTTTCAAAAATCAATACTGGATATTAGCAATTCAACTTTATTTTTTAGAAAATTTGACCGCTAATTAAATACGCTACTGGGTTAGCCATTTGTTTTTTTACATTAACGTTGTATAATAGGTCTAGTCTTACAATTCCCATTTTTTATGTAGGTGTTTTGAGCATATAATAACAAAGGTTTTATATATGTTGTAATATTCAGTTAAACAAAAAATGTCTTATTCCAATTGTTGTAATATTCAGTAAACAAAAAAAATGTCTTATTCAAATTATTACAATATTATTTAATTTCATAGACTATGTAAATGAAGATTAAAGGCAAGATATATATATTTGAGATCTTGTGAATATACTTCACTTTTCAATTTTTGGAGAGTCTTCCTTTTTAATTTCTCTTTTATTTAATTTTTTATTTTTATGTTAAATTAATATATACTTTATAATTTATTATTTTATAATTAATAGATATGAATAAAGGAAACTATAAATTATGTTATTGTTTCAAATTTGATATCCTAATTATTTAATCTTATTTCTTTCTTTTATATAGACGAAATTCAATAATATACTTGGTAAAACGAATATGCAGTATATTCCAAAAGTATATTCTTTTTAAATGAAGAATCATTTTTTTTCCTATCCAAAATCTGAATCGCTTCCGTGAACCATAAACTAGCCTGGTAATAATTATCATCCTCATAAGCATGTTTCCCTATTTCAAAGCAGTCATCGGCTTGATAAAACAAATAAAATAGAATTACATCAATTATATAATTTTATCTGAAAACATAAAGAAGTTTATATGATCATTTAATGAAGATGGTTATTAGGAGATATTTAAAATCGATTATTCTATGTAATATCAGCCCACCTCTTTAAATATTATCAATATCATATAACATTTAAAAGCACATGTCCGAAGTTACTCATTAAATTACTCAAGTTTTTAATATTTTATATTGTATTTAAAAATTTGATAATATTAAAATCTAATAATTAATAAATTACTAAAAAAAATATTGATGAAGGCTGAATTTTTAAAATTTTAGCAAACGTGTTCAAATTTAAAATTATTAAAATTTAAACTAAAAATTTATAACATCAAGTCAAGACTATTTTTTTTCGATATAATAATTATAAGAAATCTACAAATTAATTATATTTGATATCATTGGCCATCATTTAATGTATTTAGAAGAAACAATTAGATTTAGATTATGACTTGCTTTATATATTAAGGTTGGGCTATTGAAAATATTTTATATAAATATTTAGGTGTCCTACTCTACCTTAGTAATTTTTGAAGTATATCTTTTGTCATATTGAATGAATTTGGAAGTACTATTGCAAAAAATTTTTTAAAAAATTCACCTGATAGTGCTGATTTAAAGTTTAATTTTTTAATTTTTCCATGCGCTAGATCTTTGGTCTCCAACTTATAAATGTATTGCAAACGTAATATCGCTGCCATAGCTCCATGGAGATCTTTATCACCCGGCAAGTCAATCCTGGTCATTAAAGTCTCCTCGAATACTTTACATAAATATAATATATTATCAGAGATCTGCATGGCCCGGTTTGGACAATGCCCAAAGTCCGATGTGTAAATTATTATCAAGCCCAGAATTTGTGCAAAATTCTTTTGGGCTTGGACACGTTTTTATATTTGAATAATACAAATTTATTGGGTTTTTTCCAAAATAATTATACGGACAAATTAATTTGGGCCGGCACATCTATGTAAAATATTTTCAGACTAAAAAATTAAAACTTTTTATAAATCCTTTATGTGCCTGAATCAACCTGTGATGATCTTTAATATACATAATAAATTTGTTTTTTCTTTTTAAATCAAAATAATTTACTTTTAAAAGGTTGGGTTTTGATTATATTTTTAATATCCTTTACATCTTTCGCCACATTCTTAATGATCAAAAAATGGATGATAGGATTTTCTGGATAATTTGAATTGCTAAAATCTTTTAGGATTAGAGTTTGTTGCTCTACATACCTATAAAAAAAATATGTTGAAGAATTAAGATTGTGTTTTTTTAATAAAATATACTTTCTCCAAAAAATTAATAATTGGGACAACATATTTTCACAAATTTAAATAATGTAAACAAATTTTATTTTCAAAGTATTAAGTTGAGCAGAGTTTATTATTTTATCTATAATATTTAAAATTGATTTGGTAAAATAAATGTGTGTCTCAAATTCAAGAATAAAGAAAAATTAATTATATAAGCAAATAATATTTAAAAACATACACAATGTGATCTAGATTGAAAATGAAAAAGAAAACGAAAGAAAGAAAAAGAAGACAAAGGGAGGGGATTTTTTAAGAAAAAGATCCATTCTAACTCAATTTTAAAAAAAATTGAATTAGAACCCTATAAAAAATGATGTGATTAAATATATTTCTAGTTAATTTTAATCTAATCCATAATTTTACTATTTATGATTCAAAAAAAATTGCATTTAATAATTTACTGGATGGCGCAAAAAAAAATTCGTAAAGCGCCACCGTATAAATTTGGTATCGACCTAAGGCAAAGTATATTTCAATCCCAAAGATAACTTTATAAATTTTAAGATACTGAATTCGAAAAGAAAAAAATAATTAAAACAGGGAAAGAGTATAAATTACTCAAATATGTGCAAAAATTATAAGATATTTGGGATCAGAAATCAAAACGCTAAAAAAGGAAAAATAAATTATTGAGGTTTCACCATATTTAAGAAAGAGTTATTTTTAAAAAAAATTTGCCTAATTGCTATATAATATTTTATTTATACTATATTACTTCCTTAAATTTTCGAGTCGAATTCCTTCTTCAACCGTGTAATTTTTGATCAAATTAATGAATACTTTCCTTGTTTCCATGAGATCTAAGATATGCGCCACCGATGAAAAAAATTCACAGGATATTTGCACAAAAACTTGTATTAACAAAATCACCGGAATTATTTTACACATCATTCATCATTATACTAAATTTAACTGCTTTTTAATATTTATATTTATGTAATTCCTATCTTTGCTTTGTTATTTATTTTTTATAAGAAATAAAAAATATTGAAAATTATAAAAATCAATTTAAAATAAAAACATAGTAGGTTAAATAGATTATATTTAAAAAAAAATAATATTAATATTTTTATTAACATAGCACCTTTTAAGTAATTGTGTCGGATTTTATCTATCTTATCAGATTACTTTCAAACTGTTAATAAAAAAGTTAAAGAATCGATTGAAATAAACAAGTGAGAGCTAAATATACATTCAATTAAAGTAGGTAAACATTATATGCCATTAATCAAATAAGTTTATTATACTATTAATTATATATATGTCGTAATTTTTAAAGGGAGCAGAATTATCCAGTATCATCACGGATTTTAAAGGTATCTTTTTAAGAATTCAATTTTTTAAAGGATATAGAAATACGGTTATATAACTTTTGAACCATGGTAAAAAATAATCTTAATTTAAAACGCGTTTTACGCGGGTTTTGCTTTATTTTTTTTTAAATTTTATTTTTTTTTTTTTAAAGTTTTTTTGGGGGCTTATGAAAGTATATATGTCGAATATAGGGTATCAATCGATAGCTAATCAAAAGATCTATTCAACTAGTGGTCAACATTTCCCCATTAATGGGCGAGTCTAGGTCTTGGGGGGCAGGAGTATTTTTAACAAAACAAAATATCGATATAGATATCAAATAATAGCTAATTAAAGTATCTTTTGACTAAAAGTATTCATTATTGGTCTTGATGGGAAGGACTTAATATAGGGAAGGGGGGGGTGGGGGGGGGGGGGGGGTAAAAAATAAAAGATATTGATATGGGTTGATTAAAATATCTTTTAATTGTAATAATAATTATCACTCTAGGTGGCCAGGTCTAGGTCTTGGGGGGTCAGGAATATTTTTATAAACATCAAATATCGATATGGGTATAAATAAAAGCTAATTTAAATATCTTTTGACTGAAAGCATTCATTCTTGATCTTGATTGGTAGGACTTAGTCCGGGGGGGGGGGGGCTGGGGGTAAAAAATAAAAAATATTGATATGGGTATAAAAGGTAATTAAAATATCTTTTGATTGTATTAATTATCACTCTAAGTGGGCGGGAGGTCTTGGGCGGTCAGGAATATTTTTATAAAGACAAAAAATTGAAATAGGAATCAAATTTAAATATCTTTTGACTAAAAGTATTTACTCTTATCTTAAAGGGTTGGACTTAATCTGGAAATTGGGGGTGGGGTTAAAAATAAAAATTGATATGGGTATCAAATAAAAAGTAATTAAAAAATCTTTTGATTATATTAATTTTATCACGCTAAAGCTAAACAGTCGTGTTAAAATATCATGAATATTATTATTATCACAGAACATCAACATGGGTATCAAATAAAATTTAAATACAACATATTTAGATTTCAATATTATATAACACTATTAGCAGGGGTCATATATAGTCAATGCTTTTTAAAAACTCATTATCTAATGATAAAATTATTTGTTCTCAACTTATTCTATTATGTAATATTTTTAAGTCTCAAAATTCCTGGAGGCTATATATGAAACCATCGATTCACAAATTTTAAAATGACATTATAAATTTTTCTTATTGCAGTTATAAATTAAGCCATATAATCGGCACATATTTTATTTTATTTAGATAATTGAAATTTAAAATGTGAATTTGAACAATTATTTATATTTACACAAATAATATTTAAGTGACATTTTGTAGAAATTAATGCCATTTTTAAAACAATGTAAAAGAATTTTAAGATTTTATTATATTTTTCTAAAAAAAAGAATTAACTAACTAAAAAATTATTAAAAAATAAGGTATATATATTATATTACAAAAACAATTTAAATAAAAATAAGGTATATATATTATATTACAAAAACAATTTAAATAAAAATAAGGTTACAAGGCTAATCGTAAGTTTCCATTAACATATTAAATAAGGTTATATTCAAATAATACCAATTAAAGTTATATAAAATATCAATACAAATTTAATCAATTTCCATTATTTAACACAATGGCATCTCTTATTGTTGTAACTTTTCTGACAAGTGTTGATCAATTACCATAAGAAGATGCACTTCTTGATGCTGTTATTATGGAGATTGGTCTTATTAGAGGAATGGTTAAATTGTTATTTTATTGATTTGTGAACGTTCGTTTTTAAAAATGGGGAATCAATTTTTCCCAAATTAGTTCCAACCCATAATTTGCCCTCCATTTGGATAATTTTGGCTTCAATATTTTTGGAGCATAGATTTGATATATTATTTTTATTTATTGAGATCAGTACATGATCTCCAATGGATAATGTTATAATTTTAGACTGTTCACACCTCAAATTATAAAGAGATGGAAAAATATCTCAAAAGTTTTGGGATAATGGAAGAAGATACATCCACTTCTAAATCAAATTTAATTCAAACAAAATTATGCAATTTGGATTCATCAACACCAGGTGTATCTCAAAAATTGGCTGACAAAGTCATAATGAACTTTATAATATATACTGTTCAACCATTATCCTTGGTGGATAATGGTTATTTTATTAAGATGATAGACACTTTTTCTCCACTTACTAAAATATTTTGCCCGCAGACATTGTTGGCAAGAATTTTGGATGGCTTTAAAGAAATGAAAGAATTTTTAATATTAAATCTATCAGATGTCTCCTACATTTGTACAACAGCAGATTGCTGGACGCATAATAGAAGGTAAAAATGTTTATTTTCTGATTTATTAATGATATTCATATTATTAGAGCTTATTTAGGAGTGACCGCACATTGAATTGATCCAAATCTAAAACGAAAATCTGTAGCATTAGTTCTAAAAAGAATAATTGGCTGTCAGACTTATGATATTCTAGCAAATATTATTTCAGAAATCCATATGTCTTACAAAATTCAGAACAAGGTTTGTAAGATGATTACAAATAATGGGTCTAATTTCCTGAAGGCTTTCAGGTTTTTAAATTTATTATAATTTTTTATAAATGATATAAATATAGAATATTTGGTGAAGATAATAACAATACTTGTAATATTCATGACAACGAAATGTTATTATTATTAAAGTGCAATAATAAATTATATATATATATATGTAACAAATTATATTCATGTTTTTATACCAATATTTTATTTGTGGAAATAAAGTTTCGTAAAAAAGATTTTTAAAAAAAAATCAAAATAGCGTAAAAAGTAGTAGCAGGCTACTTATTTGAAAACGATAGCGGCAGTGATAGCGCGCTATTTTTTTATAAAATAGCGGTAGCAATAGCGCGCTACTTTTAAAAGTAGCGTTTAACAACACTGCCTGTAGCCAAGGATAGATATTATTTTGTATTCAACTTAAATTTAAATATTGTAAATTTTTTACTCATTTCTTCATGGTCAGAATCCACATCAAATATTTCTTGTGCCACTTCCGATTTGCTATAACCGAATAAGGTGTTCTAGAGGAAAAAACATTAAATGGGTTGTTTTTAATTGTTCTAGAATATCCTAGATTATTATTAAATACAATTTTAGGGAGCGCAGTCCCTCAATTATGTTTATACAGGGATCACCAATATGTTAAAACCTAATAATAAAACCAAAGTGCAAGCCTTTTTAGAAATGGTCAAATATTACCGAATAGGAGGTATTTTGTTGCATAGTAAATGGAATTAGAAATGCCCGTGTTATTTTTCTCAAGAATATTTAGAGCAGCAGAGACAAGGTTTCCATGATTGAGAAAATATCACTAGTTGTTATTTCTAGATTAACAAAATGTCGAGCTCGTACATTTATTTAAGGACAACAAGGAATTAATGCTATCGCCTAGGTTGTAACGATGGCTGTTGTTAGTGAGCAGTTTTGACATAAAATATCAACGAGGGAGAAAAGATTATTTATGGGACATTTTATGTAGGTGTGGAGCTGGGGAGGATTTTGGGGAGAAAGAACATAAATAATGGGATGAGAATAACGAGTAAATATTGATCAGGGCGATGGCGGGAATATCCAGAGGTGGGCCGATATGAGAAGAAATTAAAAGGACAACTTAAAAAATCTAGAATTGAGACGAATCAAAGCATGCTTAAAGGGAAGGAAAGTTTGGCAGGATGGAGATAAAACGCTCAAATATAGAGAAATAAAGTCGTCGAAATTTGGATGCTGGACGTCAAGGAATGGAAAGAATGAAAGGGGGCCGGAATATGTGTCGGGGCAGGGAATGAATAAAGTTATTGAAAATATTAGCCGAGCATGTGTTAGATGGATCCCTATGCTCTGATGCCTCGAAAAGACAAATGGCTGAAAGCAACTCAGCCCTGGAGCGTATACACATCGACTTTTTCGACTTTGAAAATCCAGCTTTTATTAGTAGACAGTTCAAGGTCTTTTGTGATTAAACAGGATCTATCACTCGAGTTCAAATGGTCAGGCGGAGACTAGGGTAGCTGTGGTTAAAAACTGGTTGAAAAACCTAAAGATGAAAGCGGAGAAATTTGGGTGGCAAGGCGTATTACAATAAAAATAAAAGGGGGGGGCAATCGCCCGCTGAGAAGTTTTTAGGAAGGAGAACTAGGATTTGGTTGAATTAGCTTAGGTCAGCAGTGCAAAGAAAGGGGCTGATCGAGAAAGGGTGAAGCTGAATTTATGGTAGGACAGACAGTATAAGCGAGAGTGTTTGGGGGTAATAAAAACAGGAGTCCGGAATGATTGTAGAAAATATGGTACCAAATTGACCAGAGTAAAGTTTTCATAGAGAAGGTGTTCGGCACCGAGACCAACTCCGAGGAGGAGTGGAACCTGAGAGATTACGATCGGGACTAATAATAGGATAGGGTAGTTGATAGGAAATTCATAAAAAAAATACATAATGATAACGGTATATTGTCGAAAATTTTGTCAGGATTAAGTTGTTAGGAAAAATATTTATCTTAATATAGTGCGCAATATATCCAAGGAAAATCTAAAGGGACATCTAAACTAAGGACCGGTTAACTCAATATCTGAGCGATTGGGACAAAATGGTTAATTGGATATGCAAATGATTAGAAGCCAAGTCGAACCAAGACGTGATATATACAGGGAATCAACCATACCGTCGAACAAAGAGGGAAGACTCAAGGACCGAAAGAACAACGATAAGAATGTAACTGCTCGAATCCTTAAAAATCAATGAGAGGCAATGGGGAAAGGCGTGATGCGAGGGTGAAGTGCGACATTTGGTTTTCAATTAGTGGGGGCCGTGTTGTGTGTGGGTTGTTTTTTAGGTAAAATCATTTTTTTTTGTTGATGAATATTTTTTTTTGATAAACTTGCACAATCATTACTTTAATTTTAATATATTTTAATTATTTGTAAAAGAAATAAAAGAGAGTAATTATATGTCATATATTTTTAAATTAATCATATTATTAATCAATTTATATTTATTTGTAATATATATATAAAGAGGTATTATATTTGCTTTCAAAAATTATTATTTTCTTTTTCCAAATTTATTTTGTTTTGCGTCAAAAAGCTTGTAAAAAGAATACATATAAAAAAAGTAAAAAGTAAAATAAAAGGAAAAAACGTGAAAAAGAAAACAAAGGTAAAAACAATAATTACATTGATAGGTGCAATGACATATCATATGTCATTGGATAAGTGTTAATCTCCTATGTACCACGACTAAAATTTTGTTATGATTTCTTATTCAAATGAATAGTATAATAATATTATATAGATGTATTATCTATTATGAATAATATAATGCAATGTAATTTTAGTGTATTAGAGGGAAATCAAATAAAATATTATATAAAATGTAATAATATGATAAATGATATAAATAAATATGAAGTATAATACTAATTTATCATTGATCGGTCGCACTAACCAAAACAATTAATGTGATGTTATTAATTTAAAATATTATACAATAAAGACAGTTATCATTTTTAAATTTGATTACTTGCGCTTTTTACATTAATTTGCAGGCTGCACATACTGTATGCGTAACAGTTCTTAAAGTGTTATAACGTTTATAAGCCAAAGGCAAAGAAATAGACCAATAACCTAGCCCCTAACCAAGATTTTATATTTCATTAGTTACTTGATGTATAGGAGTGGGCGATGGGGATATTTTTATATCTAACTCCTTTCCTAACATATTTTTATTGTAAACTATCCATTCCCGCCATAACTTCAAAAATGTTTGAAGCCCGATTAATTGACGGATCAATATTAAAACGAATATTAGAAGCTTCCCGAGATTTGCTAACTGAGGCAGCTTGGGAATGTAGTGAGAGTGGAATTAGCCTTCAAGCTATGGATGGGTCTCACGTTAGTTTGGTTTCCCTATTTTTAGGGGCTGATGGATTTGATTATTATCGCTGCGACAGAAATTTGTCTATGGGGATTAATATGATCAGGTATATTTTATGCTGATAATAAATGAGTATTCATTATAATAAGTATGAATAAAATACTTAAGTGTGCTGCGAATGATGATATTATTACTATCAAAGCAGAAGATGATGGGTCTTCAGATGTCGTTACTTTTGTATTTGAAGCACCAAGTTTATTAATTTCATATCACTTTATGTAATTTATGATAGAAATGGAAAGAAGATGTGAATACGAATTAAAATTAATGAATCTTGATGTTGAACAACTTGGAATACCAGTATACTATATTTTTAACAAATAATTTACATACAAATTTTAGTTTACAGAATACTCAGTTGTTATAAACATGCCTTCGGCAAGCTTTTCAAAAATATGTAGAGATCTTATATTAATAGGAGAATCTGTCTGTATAAGCTGTACTAAAGGTGGAATAAACTTTTCATGTGATGGAGATTTAGGATCAGGTTCATTTGACTATAATATATTAATATTTTCTACAATAATACTGTCTAGAGAATGTGGATTGTCCATCTTGATTTGGTTTTTTTTCTTTTTGAAATAGACTTATTCTGAAGGATGGACAATTTTTGGCATGAAAGATGAGACCCATCCTAGCAAAAATATTAGGACTGGATGTGTCTTGAAAATTTTAGGTCTGGACACATTTTAAAGAAAAATTTTCAAATATATATTTTTCTAAAAATTTAACATTTTATTTTGCTTAAATATCTAAGATATGAACAGAAAAATGGTCATAATTTTAAACCTGGCCAAGGATTATTGTTGGAATTTTGGCCATATTTTGCTAATTGTTTTAAAAGAAAATTAAAAATATAAGCAGTATCTATTAGGCCGGCACTGATACTGATATTTACATTAACTTTTTTGTCATTATTTTATATAATATTAAGATAATGGAAAAATAAAATTTTTTTAAATGGTTTAATCAGAATAATCACTTATCTTATCTTAGCTCTTAGAAATCAAAAAAAGTCTTAAAGCTTTGAAATTCTAAAAATATATTTTGTCTTTAAATTTTTAGATAAATGTTATATTTATAAGATATTTAATAAATAATACTTTATTTTATTACCTTAAAGAAAAATTATACATATACATATAGTTTTGTGTAACTTTTATTATCCAAATTTTTACTTATCTTAATCTTGTGCAAATAAGTATAAATTTATATGCTAGCACACTCAGAGTTGGGCAGGTCCTCTGGAAAAAGAATCTAGATACAGATACAGATTCTTTATAAAAAAATGAATCTTAGATACAGATACTAGTATCTTTTTCAAAATATCAAAAAGATACTTGTATCTTTTACTAAATTAGAGTATCTTAAATACAAGATACTTTTAAATTATCATTACCAATTAAATTAGAATAGTTTATAAAATACAGTTTTTATTATTTATTTGTGAAGAACATAGCATACACATATAAGAATGAATATATTCAATAATTAATAAAATATTTATTGATGACTAGGTTTTATGTAAAAAGAAATTTAATAAAATCATTCGTATTCACAAAAAAAATTATAATAACCAGAGATTTTAATATTAATTTTTGCCCATTAATAGTATAAACAGGGAAGGGAGAGTAGTATATTTAATGTAAGAAAATGTGCAAATAAGAAAAAAAATTAAATCAAATGGTTAATTACAATTTGCAGGTTATTTTCTGTTGTTTTAAATATAGATTATATTCGGAGTATATGGCTAAATGGCATCTCTAAAAAAAATATACTAGTTTTATTTTATTCATTATCTTTAATAAGTATTTATCATTACTTGTTTGTGATATTTATGTATTTTTTAAATTAGATATATTTTCTAATTTTACTTATTAATTCTTGCATTTGTAATATCATATATATATATAAATATCATTTAAATCTCTTTTTAAATTTTTTTTATATATTTCTTGCAAAATCATTAATTATATATAAAAAATATGAAAATAATGTACAACATTATAATTTAATTGTTAATTACATAGCAATTTTCTTTAATGCATTTTAAATTGATTAAATTTTGTAAATAAATACTGTAATGTAATTTTACTTATATCATAAATAAATAAAATTTCTAAAATATAAAATATATTAGGGATGTGTCGATATTTTTTATCGGATCGCATCGGGCCGATATTTTACCCATTTTAAAATATCGGTTATCGGTCAATATTATAAAATTTGATCCAATATAAAAATGGCTTCTTTAACAAAATTAAAATGTTATAAAATTAAAAAAAAATAGTTATATCTGAAATCATTTATTTTTATAAATTAAATCGGAATCCATTTTTATGTATATTTTTTAATAATAATAATTAATTAATAAACATATTGTTATTTTTTGCGCATTCTGATATAAAAGTGTGCAATAATCTCTTCAGAATCTGTTTTTAGTGAAGCTGGTGATATTGATAGTTACTATCGCCGCAAGCTGACCTCTGATAAATTGGAAACATTGGTATTTCTAAAAAGAAATCTTCGCTATATTAATGTTAAATATTATTTTAAATATTTATTTCAAATTTCATAATACAATTGTTTATTACTTAATATGTATATAGATTAATGTTATTACTTATTATATAAAAGTGATTTAACAATAAAAATAATTTATATACTACATAAGTTATGGTATAGTTAAATTATAGATGTTATACTAATAAAAAGTATATTAAAAATTAAAACCATTGGTATCTTTACAGAATACAAAATTATATATGATATCGGATCGGTAATCGGCCGATATAAATTTAATATCGGGAATATCAGATCAAATTGACCTCTAAAAAGTGGTATTGGTATATATCCAAAAATGATTTTAATTTGATAATCAACCATCCATCTTCTATAAAATTTTTTAATAACAATTATCTAAGAGGGACTTATGTATAGGTATTATTATGTTAATAATTATAAAATAAAAATGTATACTATACTTTAATATGTTTAACAAAGTTTGTAGAGGAGTTTTTTCAACTTTAATAACTTTTTTACTTGTGCAATTTTGACATTCGGCTTGTACCTTGTCCTTTTTCACATAAATTACTTTATAAAATTTCTTTTTCACATAAATTACTTTATAAAATTTTTCATCTATAATTTATTCGGATTTGATTCAGGAGTACCTATCTCTATAATTTCATCTTCACTACTATATATGTTAAACATTATACAAATTAAAAAATATTTCATATAAAATATATCCTTTTCTTATTTTTGGTGTTGTTATTTTTAATATATCTATCTTTGTGTTTTTTAAATTTCCAACTAATTTTAGTTATCAATATATTTAAAATATAGCAAAAAATAATACAAGATTTCACAGAAAATAAAGTTACATTGTGTGATATGTAAATGTTCTAAATGAATAATAAAAAAAATCTGTATCTTTTTAAAGAAAATGAAAAAGATACAAGATTCATTTAAAAATAAAGGATCTTAGATACAGATACTAGTATCTTATTAAAAATGTCAATAAGATACTGAGTACAAGATACAAAAGGATCTTGTATCTTAGATACAAGTATTCGCGGTACTGCCCAACTCTGAGCACACTATATATATTTTCATATTAAATTTACTTTATAATGAATTATATATATTTTCTTAAATAAATAGTGTACAAATTAAATATAAAATAATTGAAATTATAATATTGGATATATTCCTTTATAAAGATAAGAAAATAAATTTAAATTCAAGATTTTTGACATAATAGAGAAAATAAAAGATTTAAAAATAATATATCACAATAAATAAAGCTATAATACCATAGCTCATTATTTTATTTTTATTTAATATAAGTTCTTAATAAAAATAACGGAATAAACCATAGTAAAAATACACATTTTGGGTAATCTTCTTTTATTTTAGTTTATCAATATACTTTACTTCTTCTAATGTTAAAAAATGTTTAAAAGAAACTTTTTTACTTACCCTTTTTATAGTTGTCACAATTTATTACAAGAAAGAAAAATGTGTATAGAAATAAAATAATAAAATTGGTATTGGTTAAATTTAAAAAAAATATGAGCATATCTGGTAATTTTCTAAAAGTTTAATATCAGTGTTGATCCAATACTACTGGTCAGTGTTGTAATTTGACTGTCTAATATGATTTTGTTGATTGAACAATATTTGACCTGTGAGATATAGATAAATTCAAATAGATGTTTTTTAAGACAATATTAACCTTTTTTGTATATAATAATAAAATAAATCTATTATAATAATATAGTATTTTTTAAATTAATTGTCATTCATTAACTTATGTTTCACTTTCCTTGGCACAATTTTGTTCTTATTCATATTCAATATTATCATTTTCTTTAATATTTTTGAATCAATTTCCTTGTTGTCGAGATCTTCAATCTATTTCTGTTTTATTATTTACCCAAATCAACCGATTTATTTATTAAGAAGAATTAGAAATAGGAATTGCTAGTATAATGCCACTTCTACCTATGAGCATGGTGAGCAAAGAATGGAATCTGTTGCTTCTTGTGGAAGTTTGCTTTCCACATATTTTGCTATTAAACATACCACTTTTACTTCTGAAATCTATGATATCACCTAAAATATTTTGATCATCTTGTAAAACGCCTAATTCTTTTATTATATCACATACTTAATTAAATTAACTTTGATATTGGGGACCTAATAAATAAGCAACATTAATTGTTATAAATCCGAACTTAACTCAGGGTGTTTAATCAGTATTGGGAGAGCAATTAAGAATCCAAGGGTTGTTAAATCTTTCTTTATTAAAATAAAAGATTAATTCTAATAATAATGATGTTTAATTACTTACCCTTGAGTACCTAAAATATATAATATAATTCCTCTCAATAATTCTAATTTATCAAATTGTATATTTACCTTTTCTTTATTAACTCTTTCCTTTTTTATTAATTTTATTTTCAAAATATCATCCGATTAATCTTGTGTAAAAAACAATTGCTATTTATATAGTAAAATTATAATTTTTGGAAGAAAAAATACATAAAATAAAATCCATCATTTAAATTAATCTTGTTACATAAACTATAAAAAAAAATGTAAAATTTGTTTTGCATAAAATAAAATCCATCATTTAAATTAATCTTGTTACATAAACTATAAAAAAAAAAGTAAAATTTGTTTTGCATAAAATAAAATCCATCATTTAAATTATCTTTGTTCCATAAATATACTTTGCATAATCCAACATCTCCCCCCTTTAAACTTCCCTTAACTCCATCGTGTTTGCCGATGCTACCATGTTCCTCCCTGGTTCATTCGAATTACTATTCGTTGTCAACTCTATACTTGGGCAAAACCTAAGTTTGTGTTCACCCCCGCACGCCCAGCATTCCACTCTCCTTCTTGTGCTATACGGCGCTATTCTGCGACCCCCTCTCGTTGGCGTTTCTCGTAGCCAATCTCCGTATCTTTGTTTCG